CATAAGGCCAAGTAGCAGAAAACAACAATCTGTTAGTCACAAGTCTTGTATTTAGTTTTACTTCTCAAGTCATTGAATAAAATAGTTCAGTAGCACTCCTCCTCCCTAACTTTCATTCTGTTCCCTTCTCTTGGTAGGTGGTGAAGACTTTGATCAGAAAATCATGGAACATTTCATCAAACTTTATAAGAAGAAGAAGGGCAAGGATATTCGTAAGGATAACAGAGCTGTTCAGAAACTGCGTCGTGAAGTTGAGAAAGCTAAACGTGCCCTTAGCACACAGCACCAGGCCAGAATAGAAATTGAATCATTCTTTGATGGAGATGACTTCTCAGAGACTTTGACAAGAGCCAAATTTGAGCAGGAAAATAATGTAAGTGCAAAGACATTTTACTTACTTTCATTTTTGAAGGGCCCTTTCTTTTAACAGAAATAAATCCTTCATGAGATATGTGGGGAAAATTCTGGCATTTTGTAACTATTTTCTCACACTGTTAAGCACATATAATTGTTTTCTCTTTTAACAGATTACTCTAATCTTGTAATTGCCTCTAATAGCTATGTCACTTCATGTTTGCAGGAGGCCTTCAGATCCACACTTAAGCCAGTGAAGAAGGTTCTTGAGGATGCTGATCTGAAGATAAGTGAAATTCATGAAATTGTTCTTGTTGGTGGCTCAACCCGTATCCCAAAGATCCAGCAGCTTGTCAAGGACTTCTTTAATGGTAAAGAGCCAAGCCGTGGCATCAACCCTGATGAGGCCGTAGCCTATGGAGCAGCTGTTCAGGCTGGAGTATTGGGTGGAGAAGAAGATACTGGAGAGGTGGTGCTTCTTGACGTTAACCCCCTTACCCTGGGTATTGAGACTGTGGGTGGAGTAATGACCAAGCTTATCAGCAGGAACTCTGTCATTCCAACGAAGAAAGCTCAGGTATTCTCCACAGCTGCAGACAACCAGAACACAGTTACTATCCAGGTGTTTGAAGGTGAGAGACCTATGACCAAAGACAACCATCTTCTTGGCAAATTTGATCTGACTGGAATTCCTCCTGCTCCTCGTGGTGTGCCCCAGATCGAGGTCACCTTTGAAATTGATGTCAATGGTATCTTGCGGGTGTCAGCTGAGGACAAGGGTACTGGAAACAAGGAAAAGATCACTATCACCAATGACCAGAACAGGCTGTCCCCTGAAGATATTGAGCGTATGGTAAATGATGCAGAGAAGTTTGCTGACGACGACAAGAAAGTCAAGGAACGTGTTGAATCACGGAATGAGCTGGAGAGCTACACATACTCATTGAAGAACCAGATTGGCGATAAAGAGAAGCTTGGTGGAAAGCTCTCTGAAGAGGACAAAGAAACAGTTAACAAAGCTGTTGAGGACAAGATTTCCTGGCTCGATAAGAACAACGATGCTGATGCAGAAGAGTTCAAAAAGCAAAAGAAAGAGCTTGAAGACATTGTTCAACCTATTGTTAGTAAGTTGTACCAAGGACAAGGAGGCCCAGGTGGAGAGGGAGCCCCTCCACCTGAAGAGAAGCCTGAAGAGGAGCATGATAAAGATGAGCTTTAACTTAGCTTATGGCAGAAAAAGAGACCCAAACAATTTGTACCCTTTCAAGATCGGGGTACGCTCTTTTTTAGAATTATAAAAAGCACTTTGAAAATTGGTGAACATTCCTTGGTGTGGTTATGTTGTCAATCGCTTAGTCAATGGAAGGTGTGTTTTGCTAATGGACATGAAACTAAGAAACGAAAGTTTAATATAGTGTGTACAGCTCGTTACTGAATTGGTTGATTTTTCTCTCACTTTTTCATGTATTGTAAAACTCTTGATAGTTTGGATTCTTGGTGGACATCAGACTATGAACAATTCCTGCTATTTATCTTTCCACCCTCTCTACTTGGATTACAAGAGAGCTAGAAAAATTTTTTCATTAAAAAAAATAATTACGTGAACATGTCTTTCTTTTTTGTGTAAAATCAATTAATAACTGCAAGACATGGGATACTTGGGGGAGGGTGGGGGTGATAATTGCAGTCCCAAGTGAGTCACTTTTGTTTACGACTTTCATTTGTGATCTTTCATTTCTAATTCCTTATGTACCCCCTCAAATTCCTGAATATGTGCAATCACTCGAAAAGGCAGCCTTGTCGTGGTCATTCCAGTCATTCCAGTCATCTAATACCCTATCCAATGGCACATTTTCGCCAGTCTAGTATAATAGGCTCCTTCGTATTACTTGGAAATGTCCACCCTTTTCCCCAGGGTGTAAAAACTAGATTGGAACCCTAAGAAGAAAGAAGGGATTCTAGAGTCGATTGTGTAAGATTTAAAACGTCGGCCTTGATTTGACTCATGCGGTCATGCAAGTTTTGTTTTAACCAAGTATTGTTTTTCTTGAATTGTTAAACCTTGAACTGTTTAAAAATTATTTAAATTTTATTCTTGGTAATTAGTCCTCCTAGTATAGTTATGACTGTTTTAAGAGTATCACGATTAAAGATTAAAGATGCGGTGTTTACCCTGAAGCGATTATGGCCGGTAGAGGAAACCCTGTTTACTTGCCGCTGGGGGAGGGGTGCCAGGCACTCAGTATCCTAAATTTAGAGATTGGAAATGGAATCGTGATCAATTAAAAATCAAAAGTGGAAGCCCAGACTTACCTTGGGGTAGTTTTGCAACTAAGAGTGAAACCTGAGCAATATTTTAGAAGAAAATAAATCTAAACTCTAGTAAAAGAGGATACGCCGTTGAGATAATTCAAATGAACAAACATTCAGAGATATTTTTGCGCCACGAGGACGTCAATTTAATCTTGTACAACTGCAAAGCTTTGTTTCATTTTTATCTGCATCTTCTCACTTAAATGACGTTCAAACAACACTGTTCTAAAGAACAGGATTGCCACATACAAGGGATAGAGGAGATCAACTTGTCCGCGTTACGTAAGGATATGGCAGGTAACCTAAATGCAATAGTGCAATTCAATATCCTTTTCTCTCAATCATATACCGCCATGTTATATAACTCTTTCCACCCTAACATTAGTATAGAAATTCTCTATACTCTTCTCTATACATTTCCTTTGGTACTGACAAGGAGAATTTGTGAAACAATCAAAGCCTCTGCGGTCGATGTTCATTTTGTTCACTCTCATGATCTTAATGATTGATTCAGCAGCATTATTGAAAGGAGATATTAGATGCTGGTCACTTAAGGTGGCTCGTACCGGTTTTCATCTTTTTGATGGTTTGTAACTTTCAAAGAATACAACAGAAAGACTGACCAAGGCCAGTTGAACACTCTTACGGGGTTGAATTACATAATCATTGGTTATCCAAAAATAAGTGTCATTTCGTCACTAGCAGTTTCCATGGCAACGCTTTCAAGGCTTATTCAGACGCATTTTTTAGCTTGTGGCTTAAATAATTCGAAAACTAACCCGGTGACCCACTGATTTTTTTCAGTGATTGCTTTGGCACTTGAAAAGGAAAATGCACAAAGATTTTTAAAAAATTCTACGGAGCGGAATTTCAGAAAATCTACAAAAAGGGCAATTTTCACACATCGCAAATTTCCTTCCGTAGAATTTTCTAGTTTTTTTTCTGATGATTCCTTTCGACGTTATTATCATATTGGAACAATAAAAAGAAGGGGTCACCGGACTTGTTTTCATGCAATAGCTTTCGTGAGTTTAGCAATTTCCACGCGCGTTCTCGCGCATTTAAAAATCTGGATTCTATAAGATCGACATTTGCTCATGATCTGTTTTAGCTACCGCTGACAATTGCGTGTGCTCGCGCGAGCACCTACGATCTGATGTTTACAGACGTTTACTGCTAAGAAAATCATTAAACAACCTTCAAGGACAGCCTCCCGAGCTCATCTTAAAAATCCTACACATGACTTCTGGCTATATCATATTATTTTCCTTGAAGTTTCAAAGTCTTCTTCCACTTCAGGTAGATTATCCTTCACTTGAGTTCTTCTTTTTTCGCCGTCGCAAGATTTCATATCGGTTGAATATTTCTTTTAAATGTGAAGAGAAGCAACCTTTACTTCTCCAAAAATCGTCTTCCTTTTCTTATTTTCTATCTCCTGCATTCACAGTGGCCGCTCAACACATCAAATACATGCTCTTAGGTAAACTTCTCACAAAAGTAGAAAAAATTCCACGCGCCACCATCTTTGTTTTGAATTTTCATCTTTTGATCTCGCGCTTCTTTCGGACGTTTCTCTCGCGCGCGTCACGCAAGAGTGACCTGTTCCCCGCGCGAGGAAACTGGTACGAGCCACCTTAAAGTTCAAAGTGTAGAAGGAGTGGATCAGTTTTACTATAGGTAGTGCCGGCCGACATGTCGACCGACATATCGGTCGACAGTTGGTCGATAGTCGGTCGACAGGTCGGTCGACATGTCGGTCGATATGTCGACCGACTGCCGACCGACAGATGGAGTGTCGCGTCTCGGTGGAATATCGGTCAAGTGTCAGTGATCTATCGGCCGAGTGCCGGTAGTCTATCGGTCAAGTGTCTGAACTTTATCGGTAAATATAGTTTGAACGTCGCTCGCGTGGTTGTGTATTGTTGCAGTGTCGGTATTGAAAAATTTGATTTGAAGAAAAATTTGATTTGAAGGCATAAACTTTCAGGTAAAAGTGTCAGTTTAAGTGTCAGTGAAGTATCGGTGAAGCATCGGCCAAGTGTCGACCGAGTGTCGGCCAAGTGTCGACCGAGTGTCGGTCAAATATCGACCGACTGTCTACCGATATGTCGACCGACTGTCGGCCGAGATATATCGGTCGACATATCGACCGACTATTTTCCGACTATCGACCCACTATCGACCGACTGTCGACCGACATGTCGGTCGCCATGTCGGCCGACATTACTAAGAGTAACATTGATCCGAAGGAGTGATAGAAGTAAACGCCGTTTTCGGAGTCCGTTACAACAAAGGCACTTTCCGACTGTTAGGTAAAAAACGAGTCGTTTAGCAATGCAAAATAATCTTGATTTTTTTTCTCTTGGTTTTTTTTAGCATGAAGATATTTCTTACTATGACGTAAATAGCTTTGTAGCAAGCTGAATTCTAGTTTGTAAACTATTTTGTCTTAACTTTGTACATATATTTTTCACTTCAACTACGATATAACACTGGCTTCCAGCGCAACTGAGCTTCTGACTTGGCAAAATATATACAGAGCTACAACTTCTATGCAGTCAAACTCAAACCAGCTCAAGGACCTGTAAAACAAACAAACAACGCCACAAATGAGCCTTGAGATGCAACACTACAATTTACATGAAGTAATTACCCGAGAAAGAGAACAAAACTCCGCGTTCAATTGAAATTCTAGATACGAGCGCTCGTATCTAGAATTTTTGACACGGATCTTCTCCCAACGAGATAGAAACACTTGACAAAAAGCAGTTAATGTGATAAGAGTTGAAAGACTCGTCGACTAAAACTGTGATTCTCTCTAAGTATTAAATTTACAAGACGTTAAGCATTTCAAAGAGAGAATTACTGATCAAATCTAGTGTTCACCCATGGAGGGAAGTTCAGAAAAAGAAGAGTCGGGCTAAGAAAAGATAAACAACAAAAGAAAAACCGCCAAAGATTACAGCCAGTTAACAAATGCCATTGTACCTTTATCGTTCCTTGACTATTAGCAGCTACAACTACATTGGATCCCTGTTGAAACAAGCGAGAAAAAGGATTATTATTGATTGGTTGGTTTAGTGCACCGCCAGCCTCGTCTCTAGGTTTAGAAGAACTCATCGAGGCCGTGGGTCAATAACTATCCGTACTTATGCTGCATGACCGGATGAAGTGTAATTCAGTCTCTTGAAAAACTAAATCGGTAATTCTGCTGTTTATTTGCCAGATTGACTGTGCTCTCCAAAAAGTTTCAGTGATCCTTACAACGGTTCACTACTCTATTTGAAATCTTGCTCGTCAGAAGTCAACTCCTTCAACTGACCCTAGTCGAGAAAAACTTTTTCGATAGGTTTGTGCGAATTAACTTTCTACCCCTTTGCCTTTACATCTTGTCGTATTATATGTCCGTAGAATTTTGACTGGAAATAACCAGCTGGTAGTATTTACTCGGTCAGTATCTCGAGACAAAGATTCCCTTACGGTTCTCCAGCAAACTGCGCTCACAAATTCATTCGCATCGTCTTCTTTCTTATCTTTCTCCTACAAAACCGTAAAACAACGAAATACCTAAGCGGGCGAAGCAATGATCAACTGTACAATGGTAGTTACATTGGTCATGCGCGTCAAGGGTAATATCGGATCAATGTCCGTCAATATCTGAGCAACTTCCCACTTACCCCTCCTATAACCCAGCAACAGTCAACTGACGATAAGTTCAAGTTTATGTTGCGTTAGGGGAGGGGTAGGTGCGCAATAGCTCAGAAGCTGACGTGGATCCGTAAACTCAGTTGATTCGCTAGTTGCCTTCTCTCCCAGGGCGAATGGATGACCTGGACTCGGCCTTTGAAGCGAATTTCGAGTGTCCTAAACCCAAACAACCAAACTTGCGAATCAACACAAAATATGACTAGGAACCAATGAGAAGTCAAATCTACAATACCTAACAGCCACGAAGGGCGGGAAAACGCAGGGAGCAAATCGTTATTCGTCTCAGTTGTACATATGATTAGCTAAGAGGGTGGCACGTGTTTTCTGGACAAATCACAGAGTAATTTTAATATATCAACAAAGTCGAAATGGTAAATTGGCCACCGTTACGAATATAAAAGCTGACGTTTCGAGCGTTAGCCCTTTGTCGGACCGAATGTCACAAAAAATGTCACAAGGGTGACATTTTTGCGTTTTTCATGATCAGAGGGGAAAAGCGCAAAGCAAGTCCGAGGAGGAGCCCCAAGAGCGAGTCGCAAACTCCTTCCTCGGATGCGATCTGCTCAAATTTATTTCGTATTTATTTGTTTTTTCTTTTTTCAATTAAGCGAATTGCGACTTACCAGAACACTCCTCACTGTATCAAACTTGAATGTTAGCAGCTGTTTGGAAAGTCCTTTGTAATACAAGTACAGCGAGTTGTTTTCACTCCCTTCGGCAAAAAGGAAAACGTTTCCGGTTAATTTTGGATATCGGCGTTCATTGAAATCGTAATATAAACTAAAGCTCATTCCTGGGCACTGATCAGTGATGACTTCACAGATGCTGATCAGAAATTTGGAAGGAGACTAAGATAAAACAGTGAGATCCTCAAGGCTTGAGGATCCATCAAATCATCTTTTTTTTCAAACAAGATAAACTGGCTAGCTTACCACAGGCAATGTAATCTCCGTTGGAAGCCAGCCCAACAAAGTTCTTTTCATTAATATGACCTTTAAAGGTTCGAAGACAATGCGGCTTGCTGATATTCCAGAGTTTTAATTGACTGTCTGTGGATCTAACAATAAATAAATAAACAATAAATAAATAAATAAATAAATAAACAATATATAAATAAACAAGAAATAAATAAACAATAAATAAATAAATAAACAATTGTAAATAATGTAAAAATGATAATGAGATAACTTAGATCAAAACCGGCAAGGAGAGACAGAAACGAGCTGCCAGTAAAAAAGCTTATTTATGCAACCAAAAAATCAAACTCCATGGTAAGAAACTGGGAAGAAGAACACTACTGTTATAATTACAAATTTCGATAACCTGAACGGAAGCTGTCGCCTCTAAGTGAGTAGTTGTTTTTCGGTCTGATGTTCTAAGGCTGGCTCGTGAAGATGGATACGTCCGCATGCATGATGTTGTTAGCCTTAACTTCACATTCACTATTATGGTTTAAGCTTTCACCGATATCTTGTACGAGATAAGTCACGAGAAACCAGACTTACGCAGAGACAATTTCTTCTGTGTTGATAAATTTTGTATATGATACAGCCTTCCTGTGGCCTTTGAAGACTGTTATTGGCTTGGTCGTGTTTCGTAAATCATAATAATGGACACAGTGATCTGTGAAGAGAAAACTCAAAGGTTATGAAGGGAATATCGGAATATCTAGCATGACTACCATCAAGAGTAAGTCTGCTTATCTTGTTTGCACTTAAGGAATTGATCCAGTAAAATGTTGCGTTCTACTTGTTCTGAACTTCGGTGCGCCTTTTATTCTTAGCAAGTTTTATCTGTTGGTGGTAGAAATGGGATGGGAAGTTGAGGCTTTTTAAAAGCTATCAATCTGAATTTGAGCCTAATGAAAAATTTTGAGCATAATTTTCGGCATGATGTTACGTTTTCAGGAGATGCTGCCCGAAAGTATAGCTCTCAAAATTTTCGAGCGTAACCTATCTGACCCTGCTGCAAGGTACCTTATGAAGGTAGCCAAACCTCTAAGGAAAAAGCTACCGTACAGACGTGCACTGTACACATCACATACCTGCAGAACCAAAGGATAAGTGACATCTACTTTCTGGGTTGAATTTTACACAACACACATTGGCTTTGGCCTCTAAACAAGCCACAGAGTGTTCCATGTCTGTAGACCACAATTTAACTAAAACGGAAACCAAAGATAACAGAACAGTAAAAAGAAACGAAAATTAAAAAAAAAAAAACATTTTTATAATAAATAAATAATAAATAAATCGATTATTAATGCAATCGAGATCGGTGTCAGTATGTGAGCAACTGCACACCCACCCCTCCCTAAACCCAACATTAACCCTAACTTATTATTAGTCGACTACTGTTGGGTTAGGGGAGGGGTGGGTGCGCACTTGCTTAGACACTGACATTGATCCTTCGATTCTTTGCTCATTTGTGTACCCCATATTAAATGCCGACTTTTTTCCAAGTAAAACAGGGAACATAAGAAAATTCTTCTCCCCCGAAATAAAAGGGTGGCCAATCTAATCTGCGCTTTGAATTGGCCCTATTTGCTAACCATCGATGAGGATTAGTATCGATTTATTAGTTCCTAATACTGAGTTTCACGCCTTTGTTCAATAACTGTAGCGATATGCCCTTAGGCTGTGCTGAGGTTTCTTGAAATTCTTGGGGGTAAGCTCTGACGGTAAGCTTTTCGGACATTTTACTGCCTTAAATTCAAAGTTGATATGGCACTCAGAGTTTCTTCGACTAAGGACTACTCTGCTGGACTGGTTACCTTTGGCATCATCAGAACCTGAAGCCAAAAGTTTGGGATCAACGTGATTGAAATCCACACTCCAACATCTCTTTTCATGTTCCTACAAACGACAAGAAGGGGCCTAAAAGTTAACACTTTACAACAACAGCAACCTTTATTTATTCTAATTTCTAATGATTATTTTACCAAATTGGACATACCCAGAGGTAGCTAGCTAATCTAGGTGGGTCATGTCTTAACTAAGAAAAAATGTTGGTATACAAGTTTACAGAAATCAGGAAATTAATTAGAGAGTAAGTATACAGGTTTATACCCGAACATCAGTACACCTATTCTCCATTCTGTTCTCTATTCATTTTCTAAGGTGCTGTCAAGGAGAATTTGTTTCAAAATCCAAACCATCTTTAGTTGGTGATCATTTCCTTTATTCTCGTGACCCTGATGTGTGATTCAGGGGTGATATTGTTAGGAGAATTCGGATGCTAGTCACTCGTAGGAGTTAAACCGTTAATGCTAGTAAGTATGAACTGTTGGGACTTATTTTTAAGGTTGAAACAAACATGAGTGATTTCAGCCTTGAAAATTAATACTGTAAATTAAGTATAATTTTGCAAAACTGTATATATACCTTGGCTGTTGTTCAGATTTAAACTCATCTCAATGTCTATAATTTCAAAACACTATCCCAGAAGCACTCACAACGATAAGAAATAAAGACAGCCTCGCGTACACAGATGGACTTGTTCCACGGAAGTTGGGGATAACGTGGGGGGAGGGGTGCAATGGGGCAATAATTGAGAATGGAGATGTAAAACCCACTGGACCCTTTCCGGGACAGAGCACTGTCGCTTCAATTTCTTGAAGAGGGGGGAGGGTGGGTGGTGGTGGTGGTGGTGGTGGTGGTGGAAGGGAGGTTTTGTCACATTTGCACAAAGCCATGAAAGGGGTACCTGAAAAGACCTCGTCTTTGAACCAGTGAAAGCATCCCACAGAGTCACGGTGCCTTCATAATCACTGCTGGCAAGTAAACCTTTGTGATACGAGCTCCAACAGATCGAACTGTGAAACAGGCAAACAGAAAAAATGTAAATTAAACTTCTTGAAAAACAAAGCAGCCAAATGTTTGCTAGTTTGCTCCGACGCCCGTACCAAAGTCCAGAAAAGAAAAAAAAAAAAATACAGACACAAAACCAAGAGGAATCAAAACTACTTTACACATATTTTTCAGTTCTTAACTCCAATGGCAGATACATGACTGTACTTCACCTATACCCAACAACAACAACAACAACAACAACAACAACAACAACAACAACAACAACATGTACTTTGTTCACGGTTATCAGTGGTCCTACCAATGTCAAATCATTTAAACCAAACCCCTGACTATTCCAGAAGTTTAGTCCAATTGATCTCCACACAGGTACCTAGATTGCCACAGTTAGTATTACCCCAACCACAAGCACTGACATGGTTAAGATATGACAATGTTTTGCTGGAAAATTTTCCTCGTGTCAGAATTGTAAGCACACTCTTGAGTACACGTAGTTAACCCTTTACACCATAACATCAGTATGCATGTTCTCCATACTGTTCTCTATACATTCCCTAAGGTGCTGAAAAGGAGAATTTTATTTAACCCTGTATACCTTACTATAACATCAGTATGCATATTCTCCATACTGCTCTCTATACATTCCCTAAGGTGCTGAAAAGGAGAATTTTATTTAACCCTGTATACCTTACTATAACATCAGTATGCATATTCTCCATACTGCTCTCTATACATTCCCTAAGGTGCTGACAAGGAGAATTTGTTTAACAATCAAGAGCTTGTTCAGTTGGTGATCATTTCCTTTATTCTCCTGACCTAAACGTGTGATTCAGGGGGGATTCTGTAGGGAGAAATTAGATGGTTGTCACTCTTAGGGGTCTATAGGTGTTGTGTATTAACTTCAGATTCTTCACCTCACCTGATTTTGGAATTGCACACCATTTCATTCACAGGACAATGAATATCAACTACATCTCTTATCACCATTCCATACTCAAACACCTGATGTACCAAAAGGAGAAGATAAAAAAAAAGGTTTGATAGATAAGCTGTACCAGTCACTATACGAGGTGTCACATTTTGTGAAGGTAAAACTTGCTAATGAGATTTCAGTAAGTGGTGTGATTTGTTAGCAAAAGGAAGAGGGATTCAGAGAAAATAGAGCAAGGGCATCTATCAGACAGCATACTCAATGGTCAGACATGATAAAGTAATACTGAGCTCTTATTTGCTGCCTGAGCATACAAGATAATCTCAACTTGGACTTCTAAAGATTGCCACTTTGATCGCACCAAAAAAACCCCTTAAAAACCCAAAGCTTAACGCTTGAACTTCTGGGAAAGTTTTTTTGTTTTGTGGAAAAATTTTTTTAAAGAGACCCGAGTCTGGAGTCCAGAGTCATTCTCCTGTGTGGAAAGGTGGCATTGTGAGGGTTGTGTATCTCATACAAGAACAAAATATGACTGAATACAAAGATCCCTCTGAATGGCTGACTGCAAAAGATATGACTTCAAAGGAGAGAGATAATAAAGGAAAGATTCCTTGCTAAAGAGACTACTGTATTTCTGAAATTTTAACTATAATAAGCCAGAAATAAAATAAAATTTAAAGAAGTACCTTGATTTTCTTTGTAACACCAGCAATGGCAAAGTAGTCAAAATCACGGTCAAATTCAATACTGTATGTTTGTGGAGAAAAGCAAATTATTGATGGTTATATTGAATATACTGTTACATAATGTATATTTTAACTATGGATGATTTCAGGAAAAATGGAAGGGCAGTTAAAAAGTAACAACAAATCAAATCAGAATTTCATACTAAAATAGTAACTATAATCTTTAAATGGTGACATTTCAAAATGTCTAGTTTCTAACATCTGGAATGAGAAGACTGCAGTTGCCGATGGAGGTGCCCTCCATGTTTTAACATCATTTGCCAGAAAAAAAATGTTTCAGGGTACAAACCTTGATACAATGCTTGAGCTACTGTAGATGTCAGTGGCATAACTAAGTGTTGCCAGGCAACGAAAACCACTGAACTTTGTAAACTTGGCAAGACTTTCTGTGAAATAATCCAACGCATCTGAGGTTCCTGCATCACCTGGAAACATTCAGAAATTCAATACCAGCAGTATAGTCACATCAACTAGGACACGGTGTAATACAACTGAGAAAGAATTGCAATTCATAGATGTATGTGCTTGTGTGGATAGGAATGGTGAAAGAGGAAGTTAAGTCTCCTAAAAGATCAAGCCAAGTAGAACACAACCTCCAAGCTAGTCTTGGTGCCTGCTACATGGCAAAAGTAGGAGTAAATATTTTGCTACTTTTCCCCTTGGATGGGATGTCAAGAAATCATGGATAACCCATCATTCCAAGCAATTTCTCAGATTTCCTTGACAGGTTTTTGGTCCCAAAAAATATTCTTAGATGAAGAGAGGTACTGTAAGAGTAATTAAAAGTAGTTTGCCCAAGAACAGAACACATTGACCCGTTCTTAGCTAAAGATCGAGCCTCTCTGACTGGAGTTCAGAGTGCTTGCCTCTATACCCCAAGGTATGGTATGTGGCAGTAAACACAAGTACATCAAACTTCACTTTTCTCACTTGGTAAGTCTCCCTGCCTGATGGAAAAGTAGCATCTTTCTAGATCATCAAAGTGCTGGTGAATTCTTTTCCTTCTTGATGCAAGACTGGTGCTACACCAAAGATGTTTTGCTCCATGCTGGCTTCCATTAAACCCATCTTGAGCCCCCTCTGTTTGATCGCATGATTCATCATGACTGCAAGTGGACAAGGATTGCATTACTTTACAGACAATATTATGTGTGGTTCAATTTTCTTCTTGATTGCAAAAAATGTCAAAAACATTTGTTTTGAGAGTATTACTAATATCATAACGAGTCTAAGACACAGATATAATTATCAAACTTGCTTGAAAAATTTAAAAGCAGGAAAAAGTTTACCCTCAACAAATAAATTTAACATTAAGAAATGTTACTGCAACTACCAATCACATGCAAATTCTGAGGTTCAGAGATAAACTGGTGAGTTTGTTTTCAGCTTTACTCAGTCATTTTTGTAACAGCAAATTAAGGGAGGGACAAGAAAAATGAATTCAGATCATTTCATCAATGCCCAAGACCTTTTTAGACCTATGAATAAAGTGCATCTGTTTTTCAAGAGTTCCATGCATGATTAACAGCATCTTTTCAATGATACTTATACAGATTTACAGGTTCATTGTTATGGAAAACTACAATGAAACAATCAGTCAATAATTAAGAACCCTATAAATAGTTTGTTACCTTGTTGATGGTTCCATGTCTGACCCCACTGCCACTGGGGCATTTTTAGCTGTGGGTGTGGTAGGTACAGCATGATCCTAGAGGAAATAAACAATTTATTCAGACAAATTCTACTCCTACATATCCACTGGGTTTTTTCAGGTTGTTCTTGTCCTGAGTGAAGTATGTTATCACTGTTTCACCTATAGATACTGCTTTTAAATAAGGATCAGTTAACATTCCCCTGAGTATAACATACTGTAGAGTAAATGCAATGTTAGTATTGTTGGTGATGTTTAGTATTGCAGGTAAAGTTACGTTTATAATATTACGTTGCATTATTAGAGTAAAATTTTTGTTGTAATGGTAAACATTGTAGGCAGTGCTAGTTTTTGATTTGGTAAAGTTATTTTTTTTGGTAAAAAACATAAGAAAGTAAAACTTGTCAGTTAAGTTAGTATTATAAGCTGGGCTGGGGGAATTATGCGCCAATGCAAAAGCGCATAATTTTAGCTCAGACGCATAATTTGCATAATCCTGTAAAAAGTGCATAATTTCCACATAATTCTCTATATTTCCAAAAAAATATGTCCTAAAAGATAAATTTTCTAGCCTGTGTACAGTCGCCCCATCCCCTCAAAAAAATCAGGGAGGGACCATCTGTGATTTACCGTTGCTAATCGTGTATGGGAATAACTTTGCATAAATTAAAAAACTGGTTTCCGCCGACCAAAATTTTCGTGGTGTCTCAACTCATTCCGATTTTCAAAATGGCCGTCAATGCGACAACTTTTCATCGACCAAATGAGAGTGTTTGCGACGTTTTTAAAATTGCTTCACTCTATACCGAGCAAGAAAAATGTCTTCAAGCCCTTTTTGAAGGAAAAGACGTGTATGTAAGTCTTCCCACTGGATATGGGAAATCATTAATCTTGTGGGGAATTAGTGAGGGGTCCACACTGTCACACAGTTCTCTTCCAGAATTTATTTTCAAAAGGCAGACAGAACAATATTATGCAAGGTCTCTGACTGACCAAAAAAACTACTCACACTGGTTTTCTTATCTCATGAACACACCTCGATCAAAACGTATGTTGATTGGCTATAAAGTCCTTCCCAACAGAGATAAACAAACTGATTTATCGGAGCAGATAGATCGTGACACTTGATTTCTGGCAGATAATTTTGAATCGTTACAATACTAATTATCCTGTTTCCGACAATCTTTTATGCAGCCCCAATCGTCGCCGATGAGCTGTTCTCGCGTCCAGGTGGCAGTAGTAAAATAATTGTGATTTCACCGCTTCAAACATGATGGCTGGACAAGGAGTAGGATTCACTTTCATGGGTGGCAGGAAAACGGAAGAAGAAGATTTCAAGCTGATAGTCTTTGGAATCATAGAGTTCACAACACAAAGATTCGTTAGAAGAGCCCTTTGTCTCTTTAAAGTTGACAGGCAATTTCTGCAAATGTAAGCGGAATCTATAGACACTTTAAACTCCAGTGACAGCAACTCCTCCCAGACGTTAAAACTCGAGCTGGGTTAGTCAACGAGATTTTTATCTGAATTCTGAATGTTTTTCCCACAAAGAACACACAAACTCATCACTAATTCGCACACATGTTATTGTGAGAGCAATGTGTACTTTGAGAGAAGGCTTCACATTTCAAAGGTCAATTCCCCGCGAAATTGATAACCAATTGAAACCCGTGGTTCACATGATGTAATGATCTATGAGTAACAGCCAATGAGATCATTTTCCGCACATTCCGGGAAAAATCACATGGTCCCCATACACGATTAGCAACGGTAAATCACAGACGCTCCCTCCCCGATTTTTTTGAGGGGATGGGGCGGCTGTACACAGGCTAATATTCAAATGATAATCATCCACACCGAAAATACAATTTTTGCACAATACACAAGTTTTAATTAATTACTTCAAATTTGAAAAGTTCAAGTGTGTATATTGTGGCAGCTTTCTAAAGTTTGCAAATACCTTTTATTCTTTAGCAAAAAACCTGACCCTTCTTTTTGATATTTGCATCATCATGGTAACTGTTGGTGAAAATAGAAACTACATACCACTTCACCAGCCATAAGTCTTTCAGCTCCAGGGAGGAGGGTTAATGGAGCTGGTATTGAGTATTGCCGGTTGTGACTTGCTATCATTTCCTGAAAGGTCATAGAGTAATTGTTATAACCCTATCAACACCAATCCATTGATATCAACTCACTTATATCAGTAAATTTCTTGTCTTTAGCTTCACCAAACCTCTTGCATTTATACAGCAGTTGTACTTTAGGCGAATAATTGAAAAAAAAAAAAAAAAAAGAAACACAAACAATGTTTGCAACTTCAAGTAGATTCTTGGCCCCCTCCCTCCAATACAGTTTTCCCCACAAACCTGTTACAACTTGTTCAACCTGTTTTGAATGACAGACCTGAACTAAGAGGTGCACTTAGACTGTGTGCTGTACCTTATGCAAGAAGTGAGCTGGACTCGCGTTTCTCTTACCGAAACTCTCTTCATGTCTTCATCAATTAGTTTGACTTCTCGGGTAAGCTGATCAAGTTGCTATTATTTCAAAGGGAAAAATACAAAAACACAATTAGGATGGGTTGAATTTTGTCTTACAGGACTTAGATGTACAAAACTAAATATTTCAACCTCTGAATGATCTTGACCCTTTCACTCCCAAGATCACATTTAGTAATTCTCCTTACTGTCTACCAAACAATGATGATGATGATGATCTTAGTGGGGAAAAATTTGTTATCGGATTGTTATTGAATTGTTATTGGATCCATTAACAATCCTGTTATTGATGTTTTTCTTTATTCTCATCACTAACTGTTTACTTATTTATTACCTCCATTTTGAAATCACTGGTGGTCCCTGTAATCTGATTGGCTCTAATTGGTGTGATTTATTCAAGAATCGCACCATTTTTTGCTCTAAATCGCATCATTTTACGCTTGACTGAGTTTTTGACACATGTCGTCAAAGTCTTTCTGCTTTACATACAAAATAAGATGTAAAAGCATTTCCGGTTCCACTTTTTATTTAAAAACTGGCTCAGTACTGCATCAATAAAATATTTGAATCGACCAAGTCCTGTATTTGGGTGATTTCAAAAGGGATGCAATAAAGTGGTATTTGAACCTCGTGTCGTGCAATTTTGGTTTGAAATCATACTTGTGATTTCAAAATCAAACTCGTACTGCGCACTTGTTTGATTTTGAAATCACACGTGGGATTTCAGCCCAAATTGCACTCCACTCAGTTCAATTACCATTATATATTATTATAATACTGATATTGTAAAGAGAAAAGTTGTCTTGGTCACTCATGGGAGTTAAAAGGAGTTAAAGGTCACAATTTTTTTTTTGTACAAACAATGCAATTGAATTCTCTGAGTAACATGTTCATGTAATGTACCGGTAAATAAACCATACCTCTTGCTTGTGTCTCTTCACTTGTGAGAGGAAATCTTTGAGTAACTCATGTTGTATGGCTTGGCTATCCTAATAAAACAATTCAACAAAAGTAACCTCAGTGCAATTAGCATTTTGTAAAAATCTGCATTACATTATCACAAAAAGGCATCCTCATTTTGGTCAGGTGGCTTTAGAAGGCCCCCTACTGGGGGGAAGGAAGGGGCAAGAGAGAGGGTGTGAGGAAATTCTGTCTATGGTGGGTCTTCCAAATTGGCACGTCCCCTAACATAAACTTCCATCCTCTCTGCCAAAATCTCAAATTGGTACATTTTCCTCAAATAAACATCTCCTTCCTTCCTTTTTACAAAGAAGCCTGAGGCTTCATATGATATAAACTATTGACAAAAGACAACCAATATTCAACCAGCTTTGCATATTTACACCATCCCTTTTTGTACTCCAATTAAATCTCAGAAAGAGATTTATAAGTCAAGTACCAACTGTGCCACTGATCCGACTGATGAGGTAGAGTGTCCTGTTCAAATAGGACTTCCTTTTACTTCCTCCTTTTTCTATAAGCGTCAGGATTGCTAATTCCAGAATTTTGATTAGTTTGCACTTACGGCTTCCAGCATTTGTTTCTTCAGTGTTAAAACTTCCAACAAATAATTGACATCTGCAACAGGAAAGGTAACAATATTCTTGGCAAGGCATCTTCACATTACAATGTTATTAATTTAAAATCACTTGATACTCAAAGCAAATTTTTTATTCGTGAATGCAAATAAAAAGAAAAAGATCCCTTATTAAATATATCCTAAGTCAAAGTTGAAATAATCTATAACACAGACTGACAAATAGCATCAAAATAGAATAAGAGGGCAAAACATGGGAAAAACTTTTATTTTGTGTTTGCGATTAGTTTTAACCTATGAGGTCATTTCATAAACCCATATTACCTGTAGTGTTGTTTTTATTCATTTAATTATCAAATTTTAATTTAGTACAATTTCAGAGCTGAGTAAAGAGTTTCCAGCAATCTGATTGGTCAAGCAGTTCCTCATATGACACTATATGAACCGCTCCATGCGGTTTATATAAAATGTTAAAATAAAATGTTAATAAACGATATTTTAATATTGTAATATTGTTATTATTCTGGGTATGGCTATGCGGAATTGTTTTATATCATATATTCTGGATTTTTTTCTCTTTTTTGGAAATTGTTAAGTATCAGATTTAATTTGTGTAATAATTATATAATGGAAAATAATAAAAACCCTTAAATACAAAGCTTAAAGAAGGAAAAAATAAACCCAAAAATGCCCTAAACAGAATTCCACAAGAAATTTTACCTGCTAAGTCCCATTCATGATCTCCTGCTAAAAGTTCCTGCAGTGCACTTCCTGCCTCATGTAGCTGTGTAAATAAACAAATTCAGCAAACAGGTAATGAGAATACTCACACTTGTCAAGTAGATCTAACACCAAATTCTCCTAACTAATTTAAAAGAATCTGTGTTGCAGCTAGAGGAGAGAATAAACAATCAGATCTTAAGAGCTGTCAGTTCAACCTCCCAAATATCCCCCAATAACCAAAAATCCTCACCTGAGACTCCAGAACCATTTTGCTTTTCTTTTGTCCCGTTCTTTCTTTAACTTTTTGTACCAATTCGTTCACTAAGATTAATGGATTAAAAAAGGTACATGCACCTCTCCAAAACAAACAAATAAAACAAACGAGTGCTACCACAATAAGGGAAAAAATTCCTTCCAGCATACATAATGGCAGAACGACCACTTAGTACAGGTTCCACAGAATTGGGGTCAAAGATGACGATAAAATGCCATTTTAAGCCATAACTGACCACTTAATTATACAATTTATTCAAAATCATGCTCAAAATGCATTGTATCTAAGTTACTAAACAACATAAAAAAAATGGTGGTCAAGTTACACAGCAGAATCACTATATACAATTATCTAACAGCTGGACCACCAGGTCATTAACTAGCAAATGACTTGTATGATGTTTGTGCATAATAATTGTCCTAGCATTACCAAGAAGACAGATAATTTGCAATGCATAACAAACATTTGAACTCAAAGTGTTAAGAATAAATTGAGTGGCTCCAATTTAGGGGAAAAAAGTCAGGACTTGACAACTAACCCTTTAGTTTAGGGAAGAGGGTGACAGCTTAATATGGTACAAATTAAAATAATTTTGATTGTATTAACTCTACTTTTCTGAAAATACTCACATAGAAAGTTAGGAAAGATTTGATCAGGCTTGTCTATGATGTAATTACATTTGGGGCAACGATTGCTTTCTTCCAGACTCCTTGTGATGCACTGATAACTAAAGGGAAAAAGAAAAATGAGGGCAGCCTTGCAAAAAATGTTATCATGTTCTGCTATCAACTAGGGCTAGCACTGCAGCTAATATTAGTTCAAAATAGTAAAAAGACAATTAATTGATCAGATTCTAGGGGTTGGAAATGGTTCTTTAAAACTTACAAAGAATAATAAAATTAGCAATGCACAAACACTGTTGCCACTTCAATGAAACAAACCAATTTTAGAACATAGCTAGCAGAGTCACGCAATCAAATTCATTATACATAAGCGTGCTCAAAATCCCAATAGTGCACGCTGATAGCGTCAGCAAATCCAACTTCGCCAGAAATTTTTTTTTCGCGCGAGCGGCCATTGCTAGTGCGGGGAAAAATAATACATTTCGCGACAATAATGGATACAAACAGAAACTCGGCCTGCTAGTCCGAAAACGAAGACAATGTTTCGACCTTTTCCCATGAGCTAGAGTTCTTAAATGAGGCAGAAAAAGAGAAAAACAAAGGAAAAGGAGACTCGGCATCAGCGCCATCACGATTCGCTTCAACTGATATTGTTGTCCATTTTTCGCATCGCATTTGATGCACAATTCCACCAGCTATGTTCTAAAACAATTGGTTCATGCTTTCAGCTGTGCACTATCGAGTTATGGAGCACGTGGGAAGTTTGGAGAGCACTCAAGAAGCTAGAGTTGCCCTCGCCTATCGCCTCGGGCAACTCTTGCGCTTCTTTCGTGCTCTCCAAACTTCCCGCGTGCTCCATAACTCGATAGTGCACGCTAAAGCATGAACCAATTGTTAAATAGTCAGCATTTTGGTGATCCTAAAACATTTTTGTAAATAGTTTGGCAGACTTTGGCAAATGTTGGCATTGATGCATAATGATTTGAGAATTAATGTCCTCTACTTCTTCTGTAACTTTGATGAACTGATACATAATCATTTTTAATTTTGGCTCATTGCTATTCATACTTTCGATTATCAAGACTCTTGATTATCTGGACTATTCAGCCCAGTCCCCAAGAGTCTGGATAATCGAGGTTCAACTGTATACAATCATTAATCATTCACAATCAATGTGAATAACTTGAAGGTCAAGACAAGAGTCTGGATAATCGAGGTTCAACTGTATACAATCATTAATCATTCACAATCAATGTGAATAACTTGAAGGTCAAGACAAGAGTCTGGATAATCGAGGTTCAACTGTATACAATCATTAATCATTCACAATCAATGTGAATAACTTGAAGGTCAAGACAAGAGTCTGGATAATCGAGGTTCAACTGTATACAATCATTAATCATTCACAATCAATGTGAATAACTTGAAGGTCAAGACAAGAGTCTGGATAATCGAGGTTCAACTGTATACAATCATTAATCATTCACAATCAATGTGAATAACTTGAAGGTCAAGACAAGAGTCTGGATAATCGAGGTTCAACTGTATACAATCATTAATCATTCACAATCAATGTGAATAACTTGAAGGTCAAGACAAGAGTCTGGATAATCGAGGTTCAACTGTATACAATCATTAATCATTCACAATCAATGTGAATAACTTGAAGGTCAAGACAAGAGTCTGGATAATCGAGGTTCAACTGTATACAATCATTAATCATTCACAATCAATGTGAATAACTTGAAGGTCAAGACAAGAGTCTGGATAATCGAGGTTCAACTGTATACAATCATTAATCATTCACAATCAATGTGAATAACTTGAAGGTCAAGACAAGGTCCCAGTTGTTGAAAATCTGATTAGCACTGACTCAGGGTTAAATTTTAATCTAGGTTTCTTTATTCCTTTGTCCAAAAGCCTTTATTGGATTATTTTCTCTACTCTTTTCAGAGCATCCAATGGTAATAATGTAAGCAAAAAGATCTGTATTGAATTTTCTTTTCAAGTGTTCAGATCTGAAATCAGATTTCACACTTACCCTGGATTATCTTAACCTAGCTTTAAATAACCTAGCCAAGGTCAGCGAAAGGTCACAAGGAGAGGTATTGCGATAATCCAACTAAACTACACTGGTTAGAAGAAGAGAACAATGTGCCAAGGCCATAAGGTTTAACGTGAATGTGTTTGAAAGGATCTGTTTATTGTAGCCGCTGAATCGATTGGTTAATTTTAGAGTCTTTTAATCCAGGTTCATCAAATAAACAGCATACAAATATGTTTCTGAAAGTAGAATTACACAATTGAAACTTGCAAACGCAAAGCAAAACAAAACAAAATGAAAGTATACAAAGCTCAAATAAATCAAAATGTCGAACACTTACAAACAATCTGAGGGTTCCTTCTCAAAATAACTGAAAAATTTTTGTCGAAATCGATAGGATGAAAACGATTCACATTCACAATCTTCAGAACAAAATTCATCACACAAATGGCCGATCAAGATCACTCGCTCAGCCTGGTAACAACTGAGAGTTGTGTCATTGTTAAAATCATGAAATGTCCGTTTGGAACCCACACTCATGAAGAAAATCCTGCGATAGGGTTATAGTGTCTGAGAGAGAGATTGTTAGATAATTTCATGATAAAGGATCAGCTGTTAAAAACCAATTATCAAGCTTGCCATAATGTATTAATTTTCCTTCACTGTAGTGGAGAATTCTTGTAAATGTTGTCTACACAGGACAACAAGAATTTATTCCACTTTGTCCTGCTAGTCTGGGTACAAATTTACACCAGTTGGAATTTATGAAGCCTGACACAAGGAAAAAAATAACCTGCTGAAAAATGATTTTGTTCAAACTATAACTAAAGAGAATGGTGAGTATAATGTACATGTATCTTTAACCTCACATGTCCTTGCAAGCAATTGTTCAGACCTTTAAGAATGAGCTGTGCTTGAGCATGTAGTTATGTCAGGTAAAGGTAAGATTTTCCATACAGCTCCATAAAGTGCTATATTAAAACAAATCATTGTTTTGTTTATCCAAGAAAAATGTACGCATTATGAAGAACTGGGCTGCGCAGAAATCTCAACCTGGTAAATCCTTTATCTCATGACATGACCCACAGCAAAATATCCACAGGTAAATGACCTTCAGATGATTTCATGCACCAATGCAATTAATAATTATTCGAGCGGACATGGAATTTTGCATTTTTTTTTTTTAAACCACATCAGTGCCAAAAAAAATTGATAGTTGTCATCGCTAGTGGGACTACAACGGCGTACATGACAAAGCTGACACATAAAAATGAATTAGCATGGAA